ACACACACACACACACACACACACACACGCAGACAAGCTGTCGTCAATATGCGTTTTCTGCATTGCATAGCTGCAAAAAGCGCATAAAAATAGGTGTGGTAGTGGTTATTTAAGCCACTGTTCGAAACATGGTAGCGCATCCTGTGATCGCGAAACACATTATTTTTGGGCCTATAAATTTTGATACATAAGGAACTTATAGGCCATGATGGAACAAGACACAAAATTGGCTACAACAGAAAAAAAGGAGGGACCTATTGTGGATAAATGCAAGCTGGATAATCCATTAAGCAATACGCAGTGTTTGTGGAATGGACCACCAGCGAACAGCTTCATTGTGAAGAAGGTTTCTGTTGCCAGATGATTTATTTTATCGTCGCGCTGAAACGGCAATCCATACTGAATAAACGGTGGTGTCTGGTGTCACTGGTGTAGTGATGCCGAGAAGTTAGAACCTTCGCCGCTCTCTGTTCCCTTTCGGTTTGATCCTAAGTTGTGGCGTTTTTTCTGGCAGTACATTGCAGAACCGTTAACGGCTTCTTCCGGGGATTGCTTGAGAATTAAACTGAACACAGTAAAAGTTTCTAACATGCCAACTACGCCTGAAAGCGGTTCCAGAGGTGAGAGAGAAGCAGCGGATATCCAGGCATAAATGAATTAGCGCTTGTCAACGATAATCATATATGTTGCTCCAAAACTATTCAGGCACCACCAACAGTTCGTTATATTCCAAATTTTATCACTGGAGAGGAGGAAGAATCTTTGCTCACCCAAATATATGGAGCCCCAAAGCCGAAATGGCAGAATCTTCTGAACAGACGATTGCAAAACTGGGGTGGTATAGTGGGCAAAAAAGCACTGGTTCCGGATGGCAACATCCCTCAGGTACATTTTTATTAGTTTTTACAGACATTTTGGAAATGTCAGCTAGCTTGGTTGTTTAAATAACTAATTTATGGGTGCTGCGCTGATTGAATTTACAACTAAAGATTGAAGAAAACCCGCGATCGTGAAGGCAGAAAAGGCCTGGCCAAACTTTGTGAGCCGTTTGCTTCGTACAGCGGTTAGTAAATAGCGTCGAGCTTCGGAATGGCAGGCTAAGTATCTGCTTCTCAGGAAGTTCTCCATTATGAGCCAAAAAAGCGCCTCTAGTTGTCGGAATCAAAATTCTGAATGTACTTCATTTGAATAGCAAAATTATAATGAATTTGTCTGAGGAACAGTTCATACTTTTTAGTGGCTCACATATGTTATCGACAAGTTAATGTCGCTGGGCGACTCGTTTCCACCGGAAAATAGACCGAATCATGTGCTGGTCAACGAGTACATTCCTGGACAAGGCATCATGGTTGGTTTTGCCTGAGGAACACCTTTGTTTTTTCATTGTTTTAAGTTTACTTGGAAATAAGTTTACATGGATAATTATGTTTCTTTCAGGCACACACGGATGGGCCTGCTTTCTATCCAATGGTAGCAACGATATCGCTAGGGGGTGACATACTTCTTGATTATTATAAACCACTGGACCCAAAGGTTAGTTTCATCAGACTTTTGTTTTCGGATTTTTGTACATTCGTCTACTGCTGCCGATTTTGGTATTTCACTGTCCGGGTACATTTAAGTGTGCTACCGTTTTCCTTCACTCAGTTCCAGATTTGGACAAACTCATATTTTCTGTTTGTTGAAGTGAGGCAGAGGAGGGAGTGAAGCGAAGCCGGGAATGGACAAACATTCTTACAGTTCTTGCTTATTTTATATCATGAATCTTTAAGTATACAAAAATTTTGAAATTTTATAGAAGAAAAAAACCGTAGAGGAACGATACATGGGGTCAATGCTTCTGCAGCGACGCAGTTTGATTCTGTTTAGCGATGAAGCCTATACAAAGTGTCTGCATGAAATTGCGGATCGGCCTTTTGACGTGATCACTGATAGTATTTATAACCTTGAGGGTACGAACAGACGCATCGGCGAAGTTGTGAATCGATCTCTCAGGTGCGAATCATACTTATTTTCTTATTTCGACATGCGCTCTGCTTCCTAAAGTTACCGTCTCTTCGAATGAGCGTTTGCACCCGATCGGTGCTGCACATTCGACAACTATATGATGAAGCAAAAACATTTGCATTTCAGAGTGTCGCTGACGATTCGCAATGTCCGCAAAGTGTGTAAAATGAGTACTGCCGACCTGATCGCGAAACGTTAACAACTGCTCGCTTTAGCAGCTGATGCAGAAATAGAATAAAAATTTGACTGAAGTTTATGTCCACTGTGTCTTCTAATACTCTTTTAAATTCAGTACTCTGGAATCTGATTTGATATCGGCACAAAAGACTGAAAGCTTATGTAGAAAGAGGGGAGGGGGGAGAAAGGAGGGTGGAGAAAGGTGCATTTTGTGGAAGTGCTGTTTTTTCTCGAGTTGAAAATGTATTTGCATGTGAGTGCCAGTTATTCTTGGTAAGTTTTTACCGCTCGTGGCTTTAAGCAGCAGTTTAAATTCGGAAAAACAGTGGCTGAAATTATCTGCCAGTTACAAGGCCAATGAGGAATTACAAAATTGTTTGGAAATACTACATGGAATCGCCGACAATCATGACTGTAAATTTGTATCGTCGTAACATTTACAATCATGATTAGTGTTGTGGGATTCTGGATTATTTCAGAAATATGTATTCTTAATTTTGTTTTTATTCTCACGGTTTTGATGAAAGTTTTTTCTACAAACAGTTTTCTTCGCGAAAATCGTGTGTCCCTTTTGCGTTGCTAACGCCATTTTCGGGCTTTTCCAAGTACCAAATCGAAATAAAGTGTTAAAGAAATTCTGTCAGGGAAATTTTTGTCAGTGACTCACCGAAGTGGCGTTAGATGTTTTCAGCATTTTTAAAAGTCGTGCCTTTGTTTGTAAAAGTTCATCTGCGATGATTTTTCTGCCGGTCTTTTGTGACGTACTTCAGCGTCTTACAGTAACATCTCATTCTTAAAATGTGGTCTGTTGGACATATTGTAGCGAGCGTCCTGTGACTTTGGCATTTTGCTGCTTTTTTTTAAAAATCTTATTGTTAATTCTGTTTGTTTTCTTTTTAAACAAAGAGGGGTTTTTATTTGTTGCTAGTTGGACAAATCACGAAGGTACTAATTGGGGCTTGCAGATGTTGCTGAGATTGTAATTAAAAAGGGTTGGTTCGGTTCCATTGATTTCTCATTATTCCGGAGTGAGAGGGTTGAGAAGTAGTCGGTAGTACCGCGGGATATGATCCATAAATTAACTGCGAATAGGGTTTTTGGATTTTCTTTTTGCTCCCAATTTTCCACTCCTATATACACGCATTTCTGTTTCCGCAGTCAAACGCTTTACCTTAGCTGTTTTTTTTTTTTTTCACGGTCCCTTTCGCTGTTGCTGCAATTGGTAACTTCTCCAGCATGAGCTTCCCATGTTGACATAATTATCGTACAGGATTTCAGACCTATTCTTTTTTATAGCCTTCCCAGCTGTGTTTGACACTGTGCATTTATCATACGGTTACCCACTTTTCGCAAGTTGTGTTCTACCTTCGCCGCATGACTAGATCCGGTGATTTCTTTTTTTTTTTTTTTGTACGCCAACTACTTTGGTAGCATCGCTTGTACCGGTGCCATCATAGGCATGCCTCAACCTGCTTATCCCCACCAATGTGTCATTCCTTGCTTCGTTACTAATTTCGCTTCGCTTATATACAACTGAACTAGTAACACCGCAGAATTGAGGATGTTGCGTCTGCAGTCTGTACTGTAATGCATGAAAAAGACGATAACCTGTTGAACACTGTTCTTGTTTCTCCTCCCGTTTAGCTCCAGGCCAGTACTGTTATTAATATTTTTTGTATCCCATCAGCTTCGTTCCAAATAGGGAGAAGGGGGAGGTGGGGAAACCAATCCACATTCTTCATTTGCTTGGTTTTCTTTGGGTCTGAATTACATTTCCTTCCATGTTCGCCACCAGTTCATTTAAAGATTTTCCAGCGACTGTGGGTTTCATGCGGCAGGCAAAATTTCAGTTGCAAAATACTTCATTGTCTATCGCGTTTGAATTTTCCAGTTGAAGTTACAAGAGCTGATAAGTTGAAGGACAAGTGCTTCCTGTATACAGTCCTACCAGTTCTCGTTTTTATGGGGTCGTCAAAAAGGATGACATTTCTTTGTGTAAGTGAGTCGCAGAATCTTCAGCAGATTGAGTATTTGCTGGATCGTTTCCTTGGAACCCTCAGAGCTCTATTTCATACAAAGTCATTTGTGAAAGATCTTAGCAATAGAATATGACGAGCTAATTTTTCTGGTTTTTGACAGCTTCGTGGTGAACCCCAACGGTCTACTACTCGCGGAGCTGTTAAAAGACAGCCGAAGCTACAAGTTACAAAGTCAAGTTTGTCCAAGGGTCCATTCTTACAGTCGGCAGCTACTTTGCGATGGTATTAGCAAGTTATATTCGCGCGGCCAAATTTCGCAGCCCGCAGAGCTAAACTTTATAACCCTCAAATGAACTGGGAAAGCAGTTGCAAAGCCCAGCTTTACGCCTCTCAGGCGACTTAGAGTGATATTTGCAAGGCTTATGGAATAACTGGATTCGTTGCTTCCGAGAGGGTCTATAGGCAACGGCACAAATGTACAGTGCGGATTGTAAAATCGAGTTAAGCAAGCTTACACCCTACTAAAGAATTCTGCATGAGATCTCCGGAACGAAAAGGATGATACGCGGCTTATACAAGTGACATAGAGCTTGCAAGGCGCAAAACTAGAAAAATCCATCTATAAATCTCAGTTTCAGGAGGTGTCCACTGAGGCAGTGCAAACTAGCTGAATGTCGCTGATACCATAAATATCCTCTTTTCCACATTCATACGCTGTGCAGTGTCGGTCGGAATGTATCCGGTTTCTGTTTTACTGGTGGATGTCTTTTTATGCATTTTGTAATGCAACAGTTGCACAAAACGCATATTGTCAAGACCCTGTCTGTGTGTGCGCCGAGTGCATTTTATTCGGGGGTTTTAACTCGGGAACCAGAGAAGATAGGAAGCTAAAATTTTAGTGGAATCTTCCCCGTCCACATGCAACCCCACAAACTTAAACTCAGCTTTAAGTACCTCCAAGTACCACGTGTGACCCCGTAGAAGTTTTGGCGGGGAGAATTATTACCTCGGGAGCCACGAAAGCTGGGAAGCTGGAATGTCAGGGTGATATCCCTGCCAGCCTACAAAATAACGAATCTAAACTGAACGGCCCCGCTCGCTTGTTTATCACGTACAGCTACGCAAATGTTTTAGCGGGGAAATTACTATTTCGGAAACCACGAGAGCCAGAAGACTGGAATTTTAAGGTAATATCCCTTGCGCATGCGCAACACCGCAAATTAGAATTCAGCTTTCACATAAGCTTTGGCCCTAAGTACAGTAAAGTCTTGAAGGAAAAAATTATCATTTCGAGAGCAAGAAGATCTGGGAGGCCGAAAACTTCCGGAGGTTATTTTCTGCTTGTGCAGGGCCTTAACAAACTCAAACTTAGCTCTCAGTTATGATGAGGTTTCACGTACGATCGCGTGGAAGTTTTGGTGCGAAAGCCAGGGAATTGGGTGAAATTTTGGAGCAATACACGTCTGTGTTTCTTGTACTGGTACTTGAAATTTTTAGTGGGAAGTTTCACAGCTTAGAAACCAAACAGGATATTGACTACTTATTCACAGACTAAAGTGTAAAGCAGTAAAAATCCTTAGAAAGCAAACGTCCGCTTGTCGAAACTGCGCAAAACGCTTGATCGCACCTGCTACCTTTGTGCGCAGCGCCATTATTATTGATTACTAGCCTAAGGTCGGTGCAAAATTGATCAAGTAACATCCAAGCTTAGTCGCACGGAATGCTATGTACTGTTTACTGCGGGTGCTAGTAGTTGCCTGGGTGCGAACCCTCTGGACTTAATCATTTTACTGAATGCCAAAATTAAACTGACCGTGGCTGGGACGCGTGACTGCAGTAATAAAATTATGTGGCTTAAAATACGGGTCCATTAAAAATTCTGCAAGCTGCTAACGGGAATTCACGGTAGCTGGAAAATTCAACTTCCTAAGCGCTGTACGGCAGGAACGGTGGATGCACGATGAAGAAATAAATCATTTTGGAAATTGTTATTTGATTGAAGATTGATGGGTTGGAAGGAAAAGAAGAGAACGCGGGATGTGGAAAAGCTGAGAAGACGCTTTTACAATGCTTAACGCATCATTGCTTCCAAAATAAGAATGCGGTAAAGTTGTGTTGCTTTGATTGCGCAATGTTATAACAGCATTTGGTCCTCAAAGTGACAGTTGCATCCATTCTCTCTGTACGTAATCCAGGCGCCGCTAACCATATGTCAACTCTAAGCTGGTCGCTTCCATCAGCATTAGAAAGGCAACCAAATTATGCTCCCTTATGAACCTTATAGGCGTCGCAATGGCTCCCTTCCCCCTTCCCCGCTCTTTCCTCTTTCTTATGTCCCTTTCCTCTCTCCTTCCACCTCTCTCGAATCAGACTGCGCTGACAAAACAATGTTTTCGAGGCCATATATACAAAATGGCTAAAAAACAAAAGTAGAAATGGGCTGGCATATTGTTAAACCAAAACCGTTCCTTTGAGGCTAATAGTTAGTATTTTTTTTGGGCGAACGAAGAAAGTGAGGCTAGCAAAGAAAGTATTCATCATTCCGTTAAATTCCTGGAAAACACATTTGATCATGCTTTTTTAGACAAACACTGGTGAGCTATATCCTGTAACACACGCAAAAATGGACCGAAAAAGGTTAAATTTTCGATTCTCTCGCTTTCAAATCCTGAATTTGGAGCCCACCTGTAATAAGTGCCAGTAAATAGAAAATACGTAAATGGAACATATGGGCACTGAAGAAGTGAAAAAATCCTTAATTTCTAGAGGGATAGCAACAACATTATTTTTCTCGAACTTTTTTCGCATGACTTTACCCTGAAGTAGCTGGGTCAATTTTTTAGCTTTCAGATTCCAATTCTTTGACAAGCCACTCCAATTTCTCAATCCTCCACACTATACGTTGTCAGTTGTCCGTTCATACTTCTGCCAGCTATTTCCTTTAAGTTGAGAGGCTTTTAGCAAAGTCTTTCGGAACTTTGATAAGCAAAATTTTTGTGAAGTGAGCTCAAAAAAGAGAGAAGTGACTTTTAAACGCAAATAA